AACCCTAAATCCTAAACCCTACATTTTATCCTTTAAAGGGAACCCTAAACCCTATTAACAACAGGAAATGGGTAGGGAGGATGGGGAGGAGGGGGCCAAGTCTCCTCCTCACCTACAGGCAGGCCAACTCTCTGCTGCTTTGGGAGAGGGTGGGTTACTGCAGGGATGCAAAATGAGAGATCAGAAGTATGGGCCCCTAATATGGTCCCTTAGGTCTTTTAGGTGGATTCGTAGGTGGATTCTAGGGAGCCTTAGGGGTACATATGGGGTATGTAGGAAGTATATGAAGGATCCCAGTGTCAAGGGCCCATACTAGGGGCCAATGGCTTCAACCTTAGACACAACCAAAGTAATAAGTAGCATTTATGGACTTTGAGGCCCAAACTGGGTATAAGTTATCAGGTGCCAAGGGGTTAGGGCCTAAACCCTATATAAACCCTAAACCCTGAACCCTTAGGGGAGTACTTTGGTTCAAACTCCTGGATACTGAACCATCCAAAGCTCTAGGCCAGAAGCACTAGATAGGATGCTATAATTCGGGGTTCCCATAAAAAGGGGGGATCCCTTTCAGGGGTTTTAAGGGACGTGTAGATTATGTGGATCTACGTTGCTTTAGGGCTTCCAAAGTTATGGGTTCCATGCCGTCCCTTGGGGGGATTACAGCATCTTGGTGTCTCTGTTGTGGTATCCCTCCTGTTTATAGCAACTACGAACATCAAACCTAAAGACTCCTCAGCATTGAATATTCCATTATGGTAAAATATAGTGTGTTGGGAAAATTCAATATTAAGGGAATGAGTGCTCTAAATCTTAGGGACGGGGCCCTAAACCCTAAACCCTAGAGGGGAGTAATTCAGCCTGGTATCCGGACTCTGGTATGGAGCTGGGTCTCTTCAAGTTGCGGATGCAGTCGTAATCCTGGCTTTTGAGGGTTTAGGGCCTAGAGAGAGCTTTTACCAAAAGCTGCAACTGGTTGCCCGCATACCCTTGATGCGTCAAGCCCGCACCATAACGCCAATACAACTTTTATGATAAGCAGCTTTTGGCAATCCCAACCCCAAAAGTAAGGAGCCTATGGCTGCAGTGTGGCCATTTTATGGTCCCATTTTCACAAGTTCAAGTTAGCAAAATCGTCTTGTTCTTCTGCAAGAACAGACCCCGACTCTGGGAAGACCTACAAAGTAGAGGGTTGTTCGGGGTGCCTAGACATGCTCCAGTAGTACCCGTCCCTGATGATCGTCTTCGTACGTCTTCGTGATTTGGGTGGTTGTCACCCTGACCCCAGCTCCAAATTCCTAAAGCATGCGGCGAGAGTCTCTCAGTTCGGGAGACAGACCACCATTGACACAAAAGATTCTTTCCTCAGCTTGCCAGTGGGCGGGCTGTTGGCAATACTGAAGCTGCCAGCATCAGAAACCAACATCCTACCCCTTTCAAAATCAGGATGCTCTGGCCTGTATTGCACAAACGCTCAGAAGGAATTGGAACTTTAAGAGACATGCCTTGAAAAAGGAGGAAAACGGTATTGAACAGCTCAGCCGCTTGAATGAGGGCGCAGACCTCAACAGTTCTTGCGACGAAAATTTCATCCTACAGTACATGCTGCAAGAAGAAGTAGACAACAAGACATCATATGTGACGTCCACCTAAAGAAGCCAGAGCATGCTTGGAGGGCCCGGGGGACGCAGCAACTAGGTGAATCATGGGGATAACTAGGGCTATTATATGGCCAACATGGGTTATTCACCTACTTACTACGTCCCCTGACCCACCAAGTAGCTTCTTAAAGAGACCTCTACATCACACTCCAGACATCCAATCCCCGGACAAAACACATTTCCCCAACCACCAAGAAACCTAAACCTTGGGTTGCTGCTCAAGCTCAGTAACTTGGATAATGGAAAGAATATGAAGTACACATAAAGCTGGCCGCGGGCCGTACCCAACCTAACCCTAGCACCAACTGCTTCCCTAACCCTGAACATTCTGAAAGGAGTCAAATGGGGACCCCAAGCAGGGAACCCCAAGAGTACAGTAGGAATATGAGGACCCTGGCAAGTATTATTTCATCCCCACTATATTCTTGTGGTTCCCTGTTTGAGATCCCCGTGTTGAGCTTTTATAGACGTAGACCCCAACTCTAAGCCCTAAACCTCAGACCTTACAACCCCCCCAAACCCCAAACTCCTAAAACCTGAATGCTGGACCCTAGACTCCGAACACTAGTAAGGATCCGGGCACAGGCATGCAGTTGAAAGCTTCCAAGAAGGACTTCCACAGTTTGACGTTGGTGCGCCTTTTGCCTGAGCTTGCTGGAGAAATAGGTTTAGGGCAGTACTCTAGGGATCCACATATCTCAATGTAGAAAATATTTGCAGACCTTAAGGCCCCATGTAGCTCTCATTTGTATACTGGGATCCCTAAAGGCAGCGCATGAAAGAGTGGAAAAGCTAACGACAACTGTTGTCTCATGGTGGATTTTTTGGTAGGTTCTTGAAGTCATGGTCCCTTTAAATATCCGAGGCCGTAATCTAGCGGGGACCCCAACAAGGGACATAACTTTGACAACCCCTCATATAGCGCCACTATGCAGATCCTATCCTCCATTCCTTGTATACTTACAACCCGTAGCCTGAACCCTAAACTTTAAACCCTAGTAACTACTAACCCTATACTCGCTTCCATTCTCTCTTCTATGCCCTATTAACAGCCAATGAGTAAGCCAGCGCTGAAGGTTTTCAGCTTCTGACAGGTCAGTGTGAGTTTAGGAGTTTCGTTTCGGAATTTAGGGCTCAAAGTTTTAGGCCTAATGGTTTGAGGTTTAGGTTTTCTAGCTTACGGTTTGAGGGTCTAGAGTTTGGGAGGCTGCGGGCATAGGGTTTGCGAGCTTTATTGGTGCAATCTGTGGGCTGTGGGAACTTAGGGTTGAGGATGGGTTTCCTGCCTTTTCCTAGATGTAGGCCTACCCTGGGACATTCACAAACGGTGCACCAAAAACAATATACGCTCGTCAACAAGGCCTTACAGGCATCTCTGAATCATAACTCCTAAACCTCAAGCCCGAAGCCCTAAACCCTCAACCCTAAACCCAAACCAAAAACCTAAGCCCCAAGCCCGGTTGCATTCGTCGTAGAAGCCATAGATCCTGCTCATTTGGCCATCTTCGTGATTGCCTCTCCTGAGCTGTAGTCTAAACTCCTTAGAGGAGGGTTATATAGCGAACGATATTATAGGGAACTACTATAGGGGTGATGAAGTGGGACGCTAGGATTTTAGGCTCTCATGAGTCAATGATGTGAATGTAGCTCCCTCAGCCCTAAACCACATAGAGGACAGTATTAACCGATCCCAAGGGCACAAGAATCTGAATATCCGATGTTGCCCTAAGCTTCCGAGTTGCCTGACTATTGGGCGACTGGGCTATTTGGGGGTCTCCACAATTTGGGGGCCCTGCTTGGTCCGTAAAGTACGTTGGGATTCATGTTAAGGCCCGCCGTATTTTACGGAAAATATCATGATTGAACATAGGGATTGACAGGGTATACAGGACCCAGAACCCCATTCTACCGGTAACTGGGTCCCTACGATGATGCTGAATCTGATAAGACATGTAACCTATGATTGTACTACTATGGCTTAATTAAGGAATATACCCTACATGATACTAGCATCCCTAATATGAGCTAGAGATTCTTCCTCAAATTAAGAGGTACTGGGCTTTTTGGGATGAATAAGCTTCTGCTAAAGTTGGACAAGTCGCAGCAGAATCAAGTTCTCTGGATGCTGCACCTCTCACGGAGTAGCTGGGTTTAGGCGGTTTAGGGTTGCAGGGTTTTAGGGTGTACGGGTTTAGGGTTTGGGGTGTAGGGTTTAGCTGGGCGCGCCTGCGAAACAACCCATTGTTGGGTTAGATACCTGAGCAGATGCTCAGGCTTGAGAAACACAACCACGAGGACACCACTGCCTGTGTGCTCCAGGAACCGTGATAGATCCCCGTGCGCGCAGGCGCAGGAACAACGACTTAGGCGTATATGCCTTTGTTAAGGGTTGTGATAAGGCCCCGCATGCGCGATCAGTGGCAAGTGCGCCTTCGAGTCGCCAATCCCGTTTCTAATGACGGCCACACTTTTTGTTGTAAGTCTCCTCTCAACAACCATTGAAGCTTCAAGTGAGGTAGCCTGTTGTGAGGAAACTGAAAAGAAGGTTCATCAACATTTTAAGCACGTAAAAACAACAATTTTGGGCTTAGGTCGAGTGAGGGCGTCAAAAGTGACACAGTGGTAGTAGTGGGTAGAGAGTCTACCCACCGGTGAACTACTCGCCTGTAATGGGCAGGGAGAGAGCAAAAAACTAGCTTGAAATCCCAAGCCCGACTGAAACCAGTGATCCCGAAGCCTGAACTTTAGACCCTGAAGCTCCAAAGCCTTATATGGGGGGTTTTCCCAAAATCATGGGTACCATTTTGGGGGGTCCCCATAATAACATATATAGTACCTGGGAAACTACCACATAACTCGTTAAACCACTGAATCCCGAAGCCTAGACTTTAACCCGGAACCCTGATACGGCCTTGCGTAGGAAGAGGAGCGTTATCGTTTCCATGCATCGCCTGCCTCTATCGACGTAGTTCCCAAGGAACCTTTGCAGAGGCTTAGGGGGCTTGGGGTCAACTAGTAACTCAACTAAGGAGATCCCAATTATCCAATTATGAGCGTACTTTGGGATAGCTATACACACGCTCCTACCTACCCAAAAACCTTCGAGTAGACATGTCCAAATGACGACAGCGTGACTGCATGGTGACGGTCCCGGAGAACTAACGCTCACAAGGTAGAGGGCTAGATGGTAGTTTCCCTTTCCTTTCCATCATTCTCTATAAGCCGTATAAAATCCCCAAACCCTAGCCCACATCCCGCGATAACCCCTACGGAATCCGTAAAACCTTGAACCCAAAGTTGTCTGGTCAGGTAGCAGATAGCGCGTGGCAGGGAGGTCGCCACACCTTTTGAAAAGTCCCAGCAGCTGCTCGTAGTAGCCATGCATGTTGCCAACCTCGGAGGGTAGTTACGGGCAGTTCCAGGGATTACGCAACATATACGATTACCATATATGCGTAGTGAGTCTCCGTAGGCCTCCCAGAAGTGTCCGTGATCCGTTCTAAACCCTAAACCCCTCCGAAAACCCAAACGCCTAAACCCTAAACCCTAAATGAGAAAGCTTACATCTTCACAAGAAGCCCTGTGGCCAACATGTATATGAGCTATAGTCTAAACTCCTAGTATCCCCTTTTATAGCCCCTATAGTACTCCCCTATACAGTATAATCCCCTATATAACCCCCCTTAAGGAGTTTAGACTACAGCTCATATGAGCTGTAGTCTAACTCCTTGTTTCATCCTTGGCACATCTTTGTGAGGCCCCTCTGGAGCCTCGAGTAGTCCTACCAGACCTTGAAGCCCCCCTCATTAATCCCCTCCCCTAATATTAAACCCTCCCAACCCCCCTAATATTAAATACGGCCATTTTGTGAAATATGATGATATATGGGGAGTATGCAATATTAGGGGGTGGGAGGTTTAAGATTAGCAGGAGGGGATTCATGTTTTTGGGGTCCACTGTTCAGGCCCTAAACCCTAAACCCGTATCACACTTGCTAGCACAAAATAGGGCGGCACAAGGGTATTACTTTGAGCGCTGGGCCTTGCTGCCATACACTTCAAAACTTAAAGGATGATAGCACACTAAGGACTTAGGGGTTTAGGATGTAGAGGTTTAGGGGATTAGGGATTTAAGGTTTAGGATTTAGGGTGCCTTGAAGTGAAAGCAAACCGCCAGCCCCAAACAATCTAAGAAGCAGAATGTAAGCGATATACAAGGCAAGCTTTCGGTGGTAGAGTGCAGTGCATATACACTAGGAATATGAGGGAACCGCACTAGCAATGCTCAGGCACCCTCAACAATCACCTGCATCCACTGAAGAGCCAGTACCATACACATAATCAGAAGCGCTGACAGGTTGCGATGACAAAGGGCGGCTGCAGTTCTAACAGCATTGGCTCAGCCAAGAAAATATCCTGCGACATAGAAGTGGGAGCCAAGATACCTAGACGGGGGTTTTGGAGTATTCTGTGTGATGGTCAATGAAGAGCCAAAGACAATTATAAGACTGCTACATTAGTTCTCAGAAGCTGTACGTGCACCTTTTGAGTGTAGAGTTTGTACTTTTTCGGTGTAGAATTCGTGCCTTTTCAGTGTAGACTTTGTGTCCTAGACGGGATACACACCCCCAAGGCAAAAGTTTTTGGTCTGTACAGGGTTCATATTAAAGGGTTCGGGGAATTGTCGGGGCATGGTTCGATCCTATCCCCACCCCTCCAATACTGAGTCTTCCCGTGTTTTCCCCCCATATAATGGCAGTATATTGGGGGTGTTTAGTTTAATAATTATCAGGACCGGTACTTCTTCGGGCGGGTTGTTTTTGCCGATGGAATCATTGCCCGGGTGGGCTGTGACTTACGAGCTCTTCAGGGCAAAGAGGTGGATAGTTTTTTAAAGTAGATAGAATAATTATGGAGTATATGGATACTATGAGCTTGGGGAATTTCACATTCCATATTCTATCTACTTAGGGGTGGAGGGCATGTCATATTATTCACATAGCACAGTGAAAGGTCGACCATCGTCTGCAGTCTTTACAACTTCACTAAGACGGTGAACAGGAGGCTGGACATCTCCTCGAGGTTCACAGGGTCGGAACTTCCAACATCTAAATTCAAAAGCCATCCTCCCGTCATAGTGTTGCATAGATTATTCGCCCCAGCAGCATGGACAGCAGAGTCTCGGGCAACACATATTTAAGACTTATGTAAAGGGGCCCATAATGCTTCCTGGCAGCGTGGGTAAGACCTTGGTGTGATTTCTGAAAACGGGAGGGCTCCTAGCATCGAGATGAATTACAAGGGCATCATGGGGTAGGTCGCGGATGAGGAATAAAGAGGGCTTTTAGGATACTCTGATATGAGTACGAATTTCTTGGTGCTTGAACCAAATATCATTCTCGAAATATTAGATTTTACCCAAACACAGTAGACAGCCCCAAAGCCATGTAATTACAACTCGCATTTTCAGAAGCCTCCAATGTCCTTGCATTGAGCGCAAAGCAGGAACAGCTGTTCCAACAAACCCTGCGGAAATTTTGTGTCCTCAGATCACTTTGACGGGGCTATAGGGGACATCTGGTGATGTGTTGGGCCACATAAGCATACTACAGGGGCCTAAATAATTGCCAATTTCATTTTGAGGTCCATTTGGGGGAGGTACCATATACTAGAATTATACAAGGAATATAGAGCCATGATATTGGTAATCATTTAGGCCCCCCATAGTATGCAGGGTTTGCGGTTTCTGGACACGCATTCTGGGAGGTCCTAGAATAAGGATTATATCGTATTTGGCCATGTAAAGGGAACCCCATGTTCGGGAACCCTCGCCACTGTACAAGTTTTAGTAGTAGTAGTAGTAGTAGTAGTAGTAGGCGTCCACCCCCCCTAGGGCCTACACTTTACTTAAAATGGACTATAATGGGAAAGGGGTGGGGGGGGGG